AAAATTATCCTGGCATTTAACAGAATTAACAGGCCACCCTGTCTCTTCTACCAGTGGTGGAACAAATTGCCTCCTCTACAAGGCTGGTGTCTACTCATGCCTTAGAACTTCTTTTCTTGGAGCTGGGGTTATGGTTCAGCAGGAGAGTGGTCACCTAGCAACTACTGATCAAACTCTCCCTTTCCCTCCCTCACCCCACCCTCCCCAGCCTCTGGTGATCATAATGCTGCTCTTAATTGCTATGAGATAAACTTTTTTAGATTCCATGTAAGTGTGATATCATGCAGTTCTCAGCTTTATGCACCAGGCTTATTTCACTAAACACAATAATCTCCACTTCCATCCATACTGTCACAAATGACAGGATTTCATCTTTTAATGGCTGAATAGTATTCCATGGTGTATATGTATCACTTTTCCTTATTCATTCATCAGGTGATAAACATTTAGGTTGTTCCCACTTCTCAGCTTTTATGAATACTGCTGCAATAAGTATGCAGGTGCAGATGTCTCTCTGATGCACTAATTTCTTTTGGCTATATATGCTGTAGTGGGATTGCTGGGTCACGGTCACATGGTGGCTCTTTTTTCAATTTTTTGAAGAACCTCCATACTGTTTTCCACAGTGGCTGTACTCAATTATATTCCCATATGTGCTATGTGCTAAAGTTCCTTTTTCTCCATCTTCTCACCAGCATTTGGTTTTTGTCTTTTTCTGATAGACATTCACACTGGAGTGAGGTGATATCTCATTGTAGTTTTGATTTGTGTCTCCCTGATGATTAGTGATGTTGAACATTTTGTTTTTCATATGGCCATTGCCCATTTTTATTTTTTCTTTGAGAAATGTCTATTAGGGTATATTTCTGTGTTCTAATGGGGTTTGTTGGGTTTTGTTATTGGGTTTGGGGATTTCCTATAGGTTCTAGATATCTCAGAACTATAAAGAGGCTATCTAACATCAGACTACCACAGCAGAACCCATCTTGAGGGGACACAAACAGAAGCCTTCCAAATTTCAAATCTGACTCTTCTTTCCTCCCTACTTCTCTACCCCCTTACCTCTTCCCTGAAATGTCTTTAACCAATGTATGAGTTGGGAGAGTTCAGAATGAAGAGAATTCTTCAGGCATCTTAAAAGTGTAAACATCTTTTTATCTTACTTTCAGGCTAATTTCTTTTTAAAATAAAAAGTAAAGGATTCAACATGCTTATTATTTGGGCTCTCCAATGACCTCTTTTCCCTGTACCCCACCCCAAAAGTGTGTGATCACCATTGTACTTACTGTCTAGGGTGTGTGAAAGAAAAAGCACTTGAAACATGGTGAAGAAATTCTATTTGTGACTTGATTACAAAATGACTCAGCATCTCCCTTTCCTAAAAGTTCTGTCCCCTTAGAATAAATTTAGGCATCAATTATGCACCACTTATGATATCACCAGTACAAATGGTTTTAACATGAACCATTGTGCCCACCACAGCATCCAATAGCAATGGATCAGGGCTCTCAACATTGGCACTATTGATGTGTTGAGCTGGATAATTCTTTCTTGTGGGCCACTGACAGTTGTAAGAAGTTTGGCAGCACCTCTGACCTCTACCTACTAGATAACAGTAGCAACCCTCCCTCAATTATGACAACCAAAAATAGACAAAGGTGCGCTAGCAGTGGAAATCCACTTTAGAACCACTGCTCTCACCCATTCTGAAGCAACATGTGATGCTTGTGTAATGCTTCTAAGTGTTTTGATGATGGATTGCTTCTAAGAAGCACTCTGCAGCTGTAACTTTGTAAAATGACCTTTTTTATCTTCCCTATGAGTCAGGTAGCACAAATTATTGGCCCCATTTCCACAGATAGAAACTTGGAAGCATTCAGCCTTCCCAATCAGGTCATGAAAGTCTGCACTTTCATTTTGCCCACCTGAAAAGTGAAAATTATAATCACTGCTTTTCTTCCCATGCCTGAGATTGGGCAAAAGCTACACAGCAATGCCCTTTCCAACTGGCTATTCCCAAATTATTCTACACCAGGTAACTCTAAAGATGAATTTGTCTTTGCCTGTCTTCCTATTTCATGGGCCTCTGAAATAAAACCTTCAACATAAATAAAATGGCAGCAAGCCACATGTTTCATCAATGTAACTGCCAAATTACACCAAGTGAAAACTCAATTCCAGCAAAACCATATAATAATCGGATAAGTTTTTTTTCCATCATGCCCAGACCCAATGCAATTTTTAAAACACAGATATTAATGTGCCCAACATGCCTACCACAATAACCTCTGTGACACCAATATAGCACTTGGGAATGAGCACAGATAAGCTATAGATACAAACAACTGTGAACTGTCAGTTCTACAACATTCTATTCACATGGATTTCAAAAGCCAAAAAATTATACAATAACACATAATCATTTGTGAGCCACAAAAGCTCACAGCCTTTTAGTTGCAAAGGCTATGCAACCTGATCCTAGAAGAGATCCAAATAACATGGGATGCTGAAAGACAGCAGAATACTGCCAGAGAAAAACTGTCTTGCTGGGAAATAAAATTCACTTTCTTTTTTAGATACAAGAGCTTGGTACTACATGATTATTATAGGTAGTATACAATACATTTGCAAAAATCCAGGGCAGGAACCACATACTTTCACAGATGGGAAAGGCATCAGATTTAGAAACTGAATTGAGTGGGTTTCAAAACATGTTATCTGTGAGTGAATAAGAGATATGAGACTAAAATCATAAATTCAACCTAAGAGAAACTAGGATCTAGGAAAACAAGTTAATAAGGATGAAAAGCCAGCTCTGGCTTGATGTAGTGATTTTTTTAAGTTGACATATTTTATTACTACTAGCTATGTATAATCATAAGTGAGAGATGTGAAGAATGGATTCATATCATTTGTTATGATTTGTGTTAATACATCTGTATAGCTAAAATAACTCAGGATATCCTTTGAAAGATGTCAGTGAAAATATTATAACTTAAGCTTTAAATATACCAAAACAGGTCACTTGTTACAAATACTTTAGTGATCAATTACAGTTGCACGTATTTAAATACATTCCTAGTTGAAAATCTAAATTTATGACAAGGTATATTAAACCTAATTGTTCTAGCATCATTTAATAAAAATAAACTTCAAAATAAAATCTTGTGATAATCAGTGATCCAAAGTTAAAATCATCATAGAAAAATCAAAAAACTCCTCTAACACAAAGGAATAAAATCTTCAGAGGCTATCTGGAGTTTCTGCCAAATGATCTGAAAGGTCTTGAGTGCCCTCTACAGGTTGTTTGAAAAATTTTCATGGATTTGACATTTACTTTCCCTAAATATATTTAGGCAAATTCTAGAACATAAAAATAACTTATTGAAGTCTCAATTTCAAAATCATTAGATGTTCATCACATAAATTTTTGAAACAAAATGACCCATAATACTAACATACACAAATAATCACTATTAACTATCCATACATATTCTTGATTAGGAATACACTCGAACATTTTTATTGTTTTCTCTTAACATTATACAATGACTGGTTTTAGTTGATTGTGTGTACATTTAAGTTACATTTAAGTTATCTGGATAATTGCCTTGGTTTCTATTTTACTTATTTATAGTCTATTTTGTCTTCAGAGGTACTTTATGCTTGAGAAAATTAAAGACACATTTGCTTATTAAGTGGTTATCAAGAGTGGAAGTGATTTCCCTCTCTAAACTAGTCCTGATTGATTTTTGATTCTTTCCAATAACCAATGATGCACAACTTTAACAATTCCAAACAGATCGGGCATTTTTAAACAACACCCAATCTTAAGTCATATTTTAAAATTATTTTAGATAACATGTGATATTGATACACTTGTTTAGATTCTCTTATAAGGTTAATTTTTACATATGTCAAAGTTATTGTGGTCATTTCACTTTTTGGAGAATATCATCATAAAGGATTTTGCCTACAACCTAACAGCTGTTTTAAAGTAGAGAGGAGTTTTAACAAGAGCAGAACTTACTAGCAGAAGTGACATCCAATCACAATAACCCCCGACCTCATCAAAGGCAAGGCCCTCTCCATTCTGTGACAGCAATATTGAGTAAAAAGTCTCCCACATTTTGAAACAGATTTCTCAGCAACTTTGGAAGGAGTACGTGCTTTATTTGATTGCAGTTCTGTGAAATTCACCTCTTTTAGAAGGTTGTACCCAGATCTTTGCAGACATTAGAATGAGAGATAATAGTCCCAATTTATTCCCACCTTTCAACCAAGTAATTGTTTAAAGGAGGGAGATACAAGGAATCAGAATGTTCTTTAAATGTATAGACAAGATAAAATGGTTTCAAGTCTGTAAAAGAAATCTGACGGGGAGGTAGTCCAGAAAAATCCATACCGTAATTGTTAACATAATTGAAAATTCTGAACTGCTTTCACTCACCACACTTCTGATAGAAAATCTACAGATTATTCTCACACTAACTGGGTCCAAAAATTCAGTTCAATTCTGACACTAAGTACCCAGAGTTAGTTTCAGACTCCACAGGTTTAAGAGTTAGGTCCCACAAGACTGCCTTCACTTCAGATGCCAGTCTTGAATATCGGATCCCAGGCTAGCCACACCTCTATCTCATCTGGTCACAGACTGGAGGTTCTCACACACCTGCTCACATATTTGATAATTAGCTGGAACAGCTCTCAGAGTTCAGGAAAAGAATTTATTTTAAACTATGATATTTTGTATAAAGTCCCCTCCACCCTGGGTGTTGGGAGTGGGGGGATTCCCTGACACCCAGGTTAGAGGGAAACTGGAGAGAGGCAAACAGCCAGGTATGTCTGGGTGGGGAAGGGGGTGCAGAACTTGCATGTCCTTCAGAGGTGCCACACTCACAGCACCTGGGTGTGCTCACCAGCCCAGAAGCTCTCTAAAACCCATCATCTAGGGTTTACCTGGGGGTTTCATCATTAGGCATGATTGATTATTAACTCACTCTCTAGCCCCTCTTTCCTCTCCAGGGGCTGGCGCTAGGCTGAAAGTTGAGGTTTTGTTTCACTGTTATTGTTTTGCAATTTACCCCCATGGTGAAACTGTCTGGGGGCTCAGCAGAATCATCTCATTGAACAACAATGCTCTTGACAACCAGAAAATTCCAAGGGATTTAGGAGATCTGTGTCACAAACAAAGGACACAGAACAAACACATTATTTCTTATTATGCCACAGAAATATATGAAGAAGGGATTTTTTTCTGAGACATAAATTATTATCTTTTTTGCCTATTAGATGGATGGCCTAAGGCTTTTGTATTGAGAAAATTTTATTGGTAACAAGCATATCAAGACAAATATTTAATAGTAGGATTAATATTTCCATGTGTGATCATCTTTTACTTCACCATTGATTTTGGCAATAAGGCAAAAAAATAAAGTTACCTTATTTCAGATGTTTGGACAATAATTTCCCTAAAATATATTCACCTGCATAAATTAATGCAATATAGATTAATTAGCATTTATTAAAGGAAGCTGGACAACATGGGGGGAAGTTTTTTAAATGAGCCTGATGTTAGCACACCACATGGCTGTTGGTGTTATTAGAATGAAATATACCAGTCCATTGTTCCAGAAGGTAAGAAAGGCAAGATTCGCAAATGTGCAGGCCAATGAGATTGATGCAGTATAGGAAAAACTCAAGCCCATAGCAAGGGAATTAGTAGTCTATGGTGATTTCTCTAAAAACAAGTCAAAACAAATCTCACTTTCATATTTGATAAGACTGAACAATAAGTGAATCAAGAAAGCATGACAGATGTGGATAAGCATACTCAAGGACAAAACAAAGAGGCAAATGTTAAATGGGAAAGCAGTGGTGTCATCCCACAAAGTGCTACTTGAAGTCTTTTACTAGAACCCCAGAGGGATGTCACCAGCAGAGTTACAGGGCTCTCTTCTTGTCTCTGCCATCCCACATTTGTCTCAATCAAAGGGATTATGGTAAAAGACATGTCTTTCAAAATAGATAATGTGAAACTAGGAAGATGAGCAAATCAGAATCCAAACAACAAACAAACAAATGAAAAATTCAGTAGGCTAAAACAGTGAGTCAAACTTAATTAGATAAAATTTAACGGGGATAATATTAGATTCTACACTTAAGTCCAAATGTAAAAATTCATTTGACTCTAAAAAGTTAACTGAACCTATGTTACTGTATTAGAAAACCAGTGACTAGAATAAGAAATGTCCTGGTCTTTACTAGCAAACCACACCAAGAATAGCATGAATTGGACAGTACCAGGATACAGTACATAGGGCCCTCAGCACCATGGAGCAAGAAAAATGGTAGCGGTCAGAATAGGGTCAGACAAGAAATTGTTCCCAGAGAGCACAGCTGGGTAGACCAAGAGTATAATTTGTTACATGTAGTCCAGCCTGGCAATTTCATTTTGAGAAATTACTGATGGTCAGAAAATTTAGAAATTAGGATGGGCCATGATCAAGTCAGGAGTTCTGATCATAACAGTGGGATTTTCAGCAAGTGGGAAATTTAAAAGAAGCTGGATATAATCCAAGTAAAGAAAGCTAGGGAAGAGATCTTAGCCATCACACCAGAGCCCCATTGGTGTCCAAGGATCAACCAAACCATTTAGATATCTTGATCCGTGATATATTGATATCCTTAGGAGCAACAAATGAACTGCAGAGCTCAGACCTTGAAAACATTTTCTTTTTGTATCTGCCATCTTACATTTGTCTTAATCAAAGGAATTATAGTAAAAGGCATGTCTTTCAAAATTGTATCCATCACTACATGCTACAAGCTCCTCAAGGTTCTCAAATTGTTGGCTTCAAAATACATAAAGAAAAATACAATATGAATACTAACATGACATTATGTTAACAAGTCAGCTGTGATTCAGTAAGTTATAGTGGCAGGTAAATTCTGTTCAACATTGTGTGTGATAATCTTTAAATATATGTCTAGGATCTAAGTGTTTTCATGGACATGATCTAGTTTGGACAAAGATTATTAATGGTCTATGCACTGTGAACAGTCAGATGTGAAATATTAAGACTCTAAAAATGTCATTTTGAGAGTCTGCACTTGGCCAAATATAGCAGATGCCAAAGCATGAGTGGAGTGAGGAGAGTACTAAATATTTTGATCCTGCATTGAGTCCTAGATCTGGTTAGAAATGCAAGAACTTTTCAGAGCCTGCTTAAGAAATCAGAAAATATGCCTGACTCTAAGATCTCAAATCTAAGAACACGATGCAATTCTAAATCTTGGTGCTGCTTAGTTCTTATATCAGTCATGAGTAGTTTAATAACAAGAACAGAATTAACGTTGGTGTAGGTCTGGCAAATAACAGACATGAAGCCAAATGACCCAAAAAGGAGTAGATAAAACAAGGTAGAATGACTGCCTCTCAACTCTATACGTCAAGGGGCATAATAAGCAAACTGGAAATTACTGAACAGAAAAAAGAGCTCAATAAGACTAAGCACATAATTGGAAGAAACAGAGCCTGAAGAGAAAAACAGAAAGGAAGTATCAGAGGTTCTTAAAACCAGGAGATGCCATTATGTATAAACTACTGGGTTTATTTTCTATGATTATAAAGGTTAGACAAGATTTGGATGATGAATGTTCACAAGAAGATTGATTTTAAGTTTATTGCAAGGACAGATTTTCTAATAATTATCTAAAACCATGATTACCCAGTTGATTGATAAAATGTGAGATTACTACCCTAGGGCCTGGAAGACCACTCGGGCAGGGAGTCAGACATTAAATGGATTGTTGCATAGATTTATATTTAAGTGTGAGAATGCTTTCAAAATCTGAGCTCTGTGGTTTATTTGTTGCTCCTAAGGATATCAAGATATCATGGAGCTTCATAGATGGGTGAGAAAGGAATTCATTGTAACCTTCATAATAATTGCTGTAGCAGATCTGGAATAATCAGACCTAAGTGACTTTCTGCTTGGCTTCTGAGATGCACAATCACAAATATCTAATAATTCTATAATGTAAAGAGTAACAGATACAAGGGCAGAGATGTGGATAAGTTCCTATTTCTTCCCTCATGTGGGAAGAGTAGGAGGAATTAGGGAATGGCAGACTATGATGTTGATTTCGGTAGGTTGAAATGCTGACTCTGAGTGTGATTTAGGACATTTTAACCAAGTTCAACTAATGTCATATAAATAGGGAATGGTCTTGTAATCTGGACCAGCCACCCTGCACTCCGGATTTATTGTTTGCAACAGCTAAAAGAGAGAGAGACATCATCTCTCTTCCAACTACTGAATGAAGTCCTGGGCTTCTGTAGCCTGGACCAACTTAGGTCATATGCCTATTCCCAAGCAATTAATTTATCCAGGGAAGCTGCTGTGAGGTAATTGTTTTAGGCCTGCATCTGTTCTTTGCTGCCATAAGAGAGTACCCCAAACTAATAATTGCTAATGAACAGAAATGTATTGGTCACAGCTCTGAAGGTTGGGAAGTCTGAGATCAAGAGCAAATCCTATTAAAATCCCAATGGTATTCTTCATAGAAATTGAAAAAGCAATCATGAAATTTAGTTGCAAAAATAAGAGACTCAGAATAGCTAAAGCAATCTTTAGCAAGAAAAGTGATAAAAGGAGGCATCACAATACCAGATCTTAAACTATACTACAGAGCTATAGTAACAAAAATGACAAAGTATTGGCACCAAAATAGGCTTGTAGACAAATGGTACAGAATAGAGAACACAGAGACAAACCCTCACAAATACAGTTGTATCATACTTGACAAGGGTGCTAAAAACATTCACTGGAGAAAAGATAGCCTATTCAACAAATGGTGATGACAAAACTGGAAATCCATATGTAGCAAAATGAAACTAAACCTCTATTTTTCACCCTGCACAAAAATCATTTCAAAGTGGATCAAAGACTTAGGCAGTAGAACAGAGATCCTCTGCCTAAGAGAAGGAAAAAATAGGCCCAAATCTTCACCACATCAGCCTAGGATCTGACTTTCTTAACAAGACTCCTAAAGCACAAAAAGTAAAATCAAGAATTAATAAATGAAATGGATTCAAATTAAAAAGCTTCTTCTTAGCAAAGGAAACAATAATATGAGGAGAGAGCCTTACAGATTGGGAGAAAATCTTTACCACATGCACTTTCAATAAAGCATTAATCTCTAGGATATATAAAAAACTCAAAAAACTTAACATCAAAAAAAACAACAACAAACATATAACCCAATCAATAAATGGGCTAAGGAACTGAACAGAAACTTCACAGAAGAAGAAATACAATTGATCAATAAATATATGAAAAAAATGTTCAACATCTCTAGCAATTAGAGAAATGCAAATCAAAACTACTCTAAGATTTCATCTCACTCCAGTCAGAATGGCCATCATCAAGAATACAGGCAACAATAAATGTTGCCAAGGATGTAGTGAAAAGGGTACTCTCATACATTGCTGGTGGGACTGCAAATTGGTGTAACCACTATGGAAAGCAGTATGAAGATTCCTCAAAAAACTGGTAATGGAGCCATCATTTAACCCAGCTATCCCGTTCCTTGGCCTATACTCACAGGACTTAAAATCAGCATACTATAGTAATGCAGCAACATCAGTGTTGTAATTTAGATCTAGCTCATTTCACAATAGCTAGACTATGGAACCAACCTCGGTGTCCATGAATAGATGAATAGATTAAAAAATGTGTTATATATACTCAATGGAATATTACTCAGCTTTAAAGAAGAGTGAAATCATGACATTTGGCAGTAAATGGCTGGAGTTGGAGAATATCATGCTAAGCAAAATAAACCAATCCCACAAAACCAAAGGCCAAATGTTTTCTCTAATATGCGGATGCTAATTCATGACAAGGTGGGGAGGGGGCACTAGGGAAAAATAGCATTACCTTAGATTAGGTAGAGGGAAGTGATAGGAGGGGAGAGGAGGGAATGTGAGGATAGGAAAGATAGTAGAATTAAACAGAAATTATTATTGTATGTATACATGTGACTACATGACCAATATGATTCTGCAACATGTACACTCAGAAAAATGAGAAAATATATCCCATCTATGTATGATATAATCAAAATACATAAATGCATTCTATTGTCATAACTAATTAAAAGAAATTTAATTAGTTATATTATTAAATTATATATACATATATATAATATAACTAAAAGAAATTTTAAAAATTTTTTAAAAAGCACAGTGGGGAAAAATTTTAATTTCAGATTAGAAAATGCATCCAAAAGAAAATGTTTTGAGTAGCAAAGGACACTAACATCCAGATACTTCTACATTATACTAGCCCTGTGAATCTTCATCCAGTGACATCAACGTAATTTTATCTGTACTTTCTGCACCGCTAAGAAGTCCCCAGGGGCTGAGAGAAAATTTTGAGAGCTTCTGTGTAGTTTTTGTTGCTAGGAAACAACATCATTGGTATCCAAGTGTTCAGGCTCTGAGACACTGTGTGAAGTCACTAGTTCATAAAGAAAAACCTTTGGTAAATAGGTTGTTTAGGTGTGAGTAAATTGATGTTCTCTCTCAGTGGCAAAATGTTCTTGTGTAACCTTTGAATAATAGTGTATTCCTAGGCCTCTATTCTTTACTTTGGATCCAGTTGCCATTATTGTTCCCATAAGAATTCAAGCATCTACCTGAAATGCAGTGAGCATTCCTTTTTCCCCCAAATCATCTGTAATTATCTCAGTGCCTTGAACACTATGTCTAACTGGTTTTAGTTAAACAAAGTGCAATCGAGCCTGGAAACAAAGACGTAGACCACTGACTGCATGAATTGTTGAATACAATAGTCCTGCCTTATCTGCAGGGAAATATGTTCCAAGACCCCCAGTGAGTGTCTGAAACTGTGAATCATGTTAAGCTCTGTAGATACTGTGTTTTTCCTATACATATATACCTATGATAAAGTTTAACTTCTAAATTAGATACAGTCAGCAACTAACAATAATAACGTAAAACAATTATAACAATAAATTGTAATGGATCTATGTGAATGCGGTCTCTCAGAAAAGGTTTCCTGAACATAAGTACCGCAGTGCCATCACAGGTGATCTGATAACTGAGATGGTTACTAAGGTACTAACAGGAGGGCAGCATGCACAGTGCAGCATGGAGAGGCTGGACCAAGAGATGATTTATGTGTTGGCAAGAAGCAGCAGGAAGGCATGGAATTTCATCATGCTCCTAAGAACAGTGTGCAATTTAAAAATCTATATTTCTGGAATTTTCCATTTAATACTTTCAGATCACAGTTGTGGGTAACTGAACTTACAAAAAAAAATGAGACTGCAGATAAAGGGGGACTACTCTACTGTTAAAATCTGCATGGATTGTCATTTTCCAGCTTTTTTCATGGTGAGATAGTGAAGTACTCTGCTCTCCTCACAAGTGCTAGATAACAAGAGGTGCTGATTGGCTTACCCACTTCCTTTTCCCCTCTCAACCCCAGACTGCACACTATCTCTGACTCTCAACTCTAACTGGTACTTAATATTTTTCTCTTAGGTACCTACAGTTCAAAGACTACCTCAAGGTTGTAATTTATCACCTAGTTAACATACTAAGCCTAAAATTATCAAACAACTTTTTTCATTCCTGGACATGGAGATTATCCATCTATCTATAGACAAATATAAGCAGTCTAGTTTCTTCTCTATGTAGTTTATTCATAGGTTCTTATCAGATTCTCAAGGAGATGTTAAGAACTATCTCACAGTCATACCCAACCTTGTCATAAATCCCCAGTATGCCAATTAGCCTCATGTAGATTGTGCTAAATCCAGTAGGTAAAGAGGGTCTCACAGTCCCTGAGACATCAGCAATTATAACTAAAAGCAGATATCTTCTATTTCTGTGTTTGGGTCATTGTAGGATGGATTATTGGATATAGAAAATTATTAGCCTTTTAAGAGAGGGCAAATTTTTGGATCTAGAAAGAGATAGTTTAAAGAGAAATAAAATACACTGAAACATCTTACTGTAAATGGTAACCTTTACAAGGTCCAAAAAGCAACATATACAAAATGGTCATGAGTTCAATAAGTTCAGAGATAAGAATTCAAAACAGCTTTTTGAAGAAGAATTAGAACTGTTTAAAGCAGTAAAGATGAGGCAGCTTTGTTTTCCCTTTAAAAAAAAAATAAAAGGAGGTAGCTTGGAGGGAGAGTAGTTTCTTTCATTCCTGCAATAATAAGTTTGGTGGTCACCCCTTGGCACTTGGCATTCAACTTCCAAATTTTAAGCATTTTTTTTATCTCTTGAAAAAGTGCTATTGCTTTAATCAAAAGTCAGTCAGTATGATGTCTACTACAAAGAGCTTATAGGTTACCTTTGAAACACAAGCCTCAGTAATTCTGAGGGAAACAAAAGATTCGATACTTTTTCATTTGAAGTGAGTATAAAAGGAAAATGAACTTATAAAGCTTTTCTTTGTCTCTAACTGGTAAAAAGAGAAAATTGTGATCTTAAATATACTTCAAATTACTTTTATATTTTTAAATATATTTATGCATTCTTATTATGCAAGTTATTCTTATCCACAACTACAACACAGCCTGACCACTGGCAAGTGTGAGTAGACTGGGAGGAAAAAAATAAGCCATTGACATAGGACTTTCCATGACAAAGTCTTCAAGGTGGACCCTTTTCCTGCTGTCTACAATTCCCTACATATTAGCTAAAGCTTACCCTCAGGAGTATGGAAATATCAAAGTATTATCAGGAATTGATACATTTCCTAAAGTTTTTACCTGTAAATTAGCTATAATAATATTGCTATAGTTAAAGGATAAGAATATAAACTTCAATACTTTTCTAAAAGAAATACATTTTTAATATCTTGATCATTTAATAGATATGTACAAATTTGTTCTTCCACTATATTCCATTCATTTGTTCTTTCTGTTTCCCTTTTAGCCAACATGTGCTCGATAATTATTACTTGTTGCTGCTGTTGTTGTTGTTGCTATATAATGTATAGCCAAAATCCATTTCCAAATACCTGGAATCCAGCTGCCCTTCACTTTAACCAGAGTGCCCATTGATAAACATAATGAAAATAAATATACAATAGATATGCAACAGTGATATCTTCAGATATCACTAAGCAATCTTGATTTTTTTTTTTTTTTTTGTACTGGGGATTGAACCCAGGGCACTTTACCACTGAGCTAAATCCTTCTTATTTTTTATTTTGAGACAAAGTCTCATTAAGTGGCTAAGAATGCCCTTGAACTTGCAATCCTCCTGCCTCAGTCTCCTGAGTCTGAGATTACGAGCGTATACGACCACACCCAGCACAATCTAGATCTTATGTCTACTAAAGCCAGATGCGTTCCCAATGTAGCCACTACCAATTCATTAGAAACAGCATTCCTCATGAGATCTATATGCCAACTTAATTTAAAGCAATGCTACTTCACAATCATTTGCTAAGAATATTCCCTCTGGCTCCAAAAATGTCTTCAAAATGAATTTCTAGACCAACTGAACTCTGTGTAATGGACTGTTTCTCCATTTCAGATGGCTATACCACTGATGACATTGAGTTTTACTGGAATGGAGGAGAAGGAGCAGTAACAGGAGTTAATAAAATTGAGCTTCCTCAGTTTTCAATTGTTGACTACAAGATGGTGTCCAAGAAGGTGGAGTTCACTACAGGTGAGGAAGTTTTGCCTAAAGAAACACTATTTGAAAGGAAGAAGATAACTACAATCAATGATGATTTGATATTTTTTTCATTTTCTTTTTCCAACTCAGGGGCATATCCACGACTGTCACTAAGTTTCCGTCTAAAGAGAAACATTGGCTACTTCATTTTGCAAACCTACATGCCTTCTACGCTGATTACAATTCTGTCCTGGGTGTCTTTTTGGATCAATTATGATGCATCTGCAGCCAGAGTTGCACTAGGTAATGCATTCCCAGTATTTTTTGCAGAGTTAATGAGTAGTACCTTCAAACAAATAACCAATATTAGGAATCATAGGTAAGAACTCTCTTACAGCAAACCAAAGTAGATTGCCAGAAGAGTACTTAGATATAAAACATCTAAGTATAAGCACATTTACAATGAAATTTTACAAAAAAAAAATCCTAAAGTATATTTCCCATTATTTCAGTGCTTTGTGAAGTATATTTTTAAAATTCTCATTACACTAATTTTTACCAACTTCTTGATGACTTTCTTTTTGTTCCTTGTTTCTCTGCTGAAAACACAATTCATTGTTTTCAAAAATTCTTGGAGAAAAGCTAAATCTTGGGGTTGGGTTTGTGGCTTGGTGACAGAGCACTTGCCTGGCATGTGTGAGGCACTGGGTTCGATTCTCAGTACCACATATAAATGAAATAAAGGTCCATGGGCAACTAAAAAAAGGAGTTTTTTAAAATAAATAAATAAATAAAAGCTAAACCTTGTGACCATTAACCAAGGTCCATTAATTGTTGGGAAATGCTACCCCTGAAGAATATTCACCAGGGTTAAAACAACCAAAATGAGTCTCGTTTAAAGGGAGGTTATTATATTGAATAAGGCACAATTTATCTACTATATTAATGATCTGTGATCATGACAAAATAAAAAAGTGTTTCCTTTCTGGAGGAACAGAATTCAGAATTAATCTTGCTGTTGTTGAGTAATTGCTGGAAGCTGGAAGCTGAAAGCCTATGTTTGAGACTTTAAATGGTTTCTTGGAAAGTTAGAGTGTGTTAAGATGTGTCTAATGAAAGAGCTATTGTACAGATCTCCCTCAACATTTGACCCTCAGTCATTGTGGTGATCACTTTCTGGAGATAATTTTCATAAACTTCAAATCAAAGAATAAAAGCAGAAATAAAATTAGTAAATCTGTAAATTTCTGTCAAACACATTAACTAGAATTATACTAGATGAAATTTAAAGTTTTCTTCCAAAAAAATGAGATAATGGCATTTCATCAGTCCTGCATATTTGAATTAATCAATGATCTGAACTAGTTTAGCTTTCATGTAGTAGACCTGACTTTCTATTTTATCCAATCTTCAAAAAGTTGACAGGTAAAGAGAGGAACCGTGGAATGAATTGACCAAACTATGCTATGCACTTGTATGAATATACCATTTGTATGGATTTCACTTTTATACATATCTACAACACACCAATTTTTAAAAACCTTTAACAAATAAAGGAAAGATCAGTAAAGTAGAGGAAGGGGAACAGGAGGGAGACAGGGAGTGATAGAGGCAATACTGAAGTCTGAAGTGGAGCAAATTATATTTCATGCATGTGTGATTATGTCACAATGAACCCCCAAATTATATATAACTATGATACACTAATAAAAATATATAGGCTATGTTTTTTAGAAAAGTTGAATAGTCAAAGAAGGAATCTATACATCTAGAACACTCTGCCAAATGAGTGTGAACTATCTTCTCTTGTTTTCTTTTGCTATCTCCCATTCCCTTTGTCTTTCTATCCATCTCACACTTCCTGTCTTTATTTTTAAAGACTTCCATCAAGTCTCATTTATTACCTTCTTATATCTCTGTGTTTATTTTAACTGCTGTTTTTTAAACATTTTATTGTGTTTTTTTTTTTTTTGCCCTTTAGCTTGGAAACCATCAGCAAAATAACTAATCATAGAATTTCTATTCACTCAGGTTAAAACAGAAATAATGTGTTTCCCACAAATAATATAGCCCACTAATCACAGTGAGCTGTTATGACAGCCAGAGAAAATAATTCATAACTGTAGGCACTTAAAATTGTAAAACACAGTATGAATGTGTAATGTAAGTATCAAACTATCTACCCAAGATTCCAACTTCTTTTTTATTTTATATTTTTCCCAATTATTTCATAATCACCACCATCAACACAAAATATTCATTATTCAGCAATACAACTATTACACTATTAGCAATCATGCATTTAACCAATAAATTTTAAAAATCTTCCTTTTATGAGTTTACAGTCCTAGATTTCTTTTAACAAATCAAAGCTCTATTTTTTTAAGATACTTCATCCTGACATCAGGGCACTACTTTGTTCTGGGCTCTGGAATAAAAAAACTAGAGATAATATTTGAAAAACTAAAGCAACAGGACTATATTATATCTGGAAAATACATAAATCAAATATTTGTTGCAAATCACAAACTTCCTCATGTTTCTTCTTTTGGTGACATATTATTATGAATGGTGCCTTATGTTTTTTTTTCAAAACTCACATTTTATTTTGATTGAGGTAAATTATACGAAATTGATTTTCTTCACCAAAAATAACAGCAATATTTTCTGTATTATTTCGAGATAAACCACAAAAACATTTATTTTGTAGGTTTTCCAGGTATTGCTTATTAATCAATATAAGGCAGTAAATATAGTCATGGAAAAAGGTAGAAAAAAAACAAGACAAGTCAGTTGCCTATCTTGATGGCCTCTGATTCTGTATTGATCATGAAGCAGAAGTGTTCAATATTTATGTGCTAAAAGCTTATGAAGATGCAAGCTCAAAAAGGAATGTAAACAGCACAACCAGATGTAAAAGATGCATTATTTTTAAATGCAAGTTGTCTGCCTTGTGAGTTGGGTGTATTGTAGATTCTTGGGATAATGACAATCTCCTCACACTGGTCACTCACTTTCAATTTCATAGTAGCTGCTGTGGGGATTAGTGGGGTGGTAAGCAAGAAATTGAGAGAGAAAAGATGGAATGGAATGAGGTACATTGGACAGTAAGCATCCAATGGGACTTTGATCTGACTCTTCATCTACTTTTTTTAACCTTAGTGCATTTTTAAAAATATTGCCAACCCTCCATTAACTACACATTCTATTTTATGATTTATTAATGGATAATTGAGGGAGTCTATAGGATTTTTTTGTCTATTTCAATATATATGCCTTTTTGTCCAATGGTTTATCATATTGCTGCTTTCCTTCTGGGGCACAGTAAAGGAATGGAATCTGTCCTCTAAATTCCAAAAAGGACAACTTCACATAGTTGACTTTCAGCTAAGTTTTGTCTTTCTGTTTTACAGGAATCACCACTGTGCTGACAATGACAACCATCAGCACTCATCTCAGGGAGACCCTGCCAAAGATCCCTTATGTCAAAGCGATTGACATTTACCTGATGGGTTGCTTTGTGTTTGTTTTCCTGGCTTTGCTGGAATATGCCTTTGTAAATTACATCTTCTTTGGGAAAGGCCCTCAGAAAAAGGGAGCTAGCAAACAAGACCAGAGTGCCAATGAGAAGAACAAACTGGAGATGAATAAAGTCCAGGTAATGCATTAAATATTCCTAACAATGTGCCACCTAAATTTATCAGCATCATGTTATACAGTGCTCCCATAGCAGAAAAATATTTACAAAATACTAGTTTATCATTAATAAAACTCAATCAACTCTTCATTTTATATGTTTGGAAACAAAGGATTGAAGAACTTAGATTGACAGTTATATAGATTAAAAACAGTGTTTTAGTTTTTCATTATTATAATAAAATAACTGAAGGCAGGCTAGCCTTATAAAGAAAATAAGTTTATTTAGCTCATACTTTGGGGTTTTTTGTCGTTTGTTTGTTTTATTAGTTGCTTATGACAATACAATGATCTTGACATATCATACATTTGAATCAAATGGGGTATGAATCCTCATTTTTCCAAGTGTACAGGTTGCAGAATCACATTGGTTATATGGGCACGTATATACATACAGCAATACTAGTGTCTATTTTATTCTGCTGTCCTTCCTATCCCCCCTCCCCTCCTCTCCCCTCCCATAACCTCTCTCTACCCAATCTAATGTGACACATTTCTCTCTCTCTTTTTTTTCTTCTTCCCCCTCACGTCATCATACATGTATTTTGTATAACGATGAGGCTCTCCTTCCTTCTTCTGTGCAATTCCCCTTCTCCCTCCCATTCTCTCCCACCTCTCTTCCCTATTTAGTGGTAATCTTCTTCTCATGCTCTTCCTCCCTACTCTATTAGCTCTTACTTTTTTGATGCTGAAAGTCCAAACAGCATAGCTCTAGCTCTAACACTATCATGGATGGTAGAAATGCATGAAGGAGGAAGTGATCACATCGCAAAGCAGGAAACCAAAGAGCAATTAAGGAGTCCCACATCCCCTTCTGAAGGCAGAATCTTCAGTTAACCTAACCACCTCCCACTAGGCCCCACCTCTTAAAGGTCCCAACTTCTAACATTGCCACACTAAGAACCAAGCTCCAACACATGAACCACTGGGGGACATGCTTAAACCATATCTAAACCAATACACATGTAGGCCTGGAACTTTCTATAAAATTGTATGTGAAAGAATGGTGCCAGATCTGCTTGGTAAATAAATGAGAGAAATAGAGTCAATACACCTGCACTACTAAGTAGCGATGAGCCCATAATGCACGGTGGTTACAACCATAGACTAGAACCAAAACATGGAAAGTTAGAGTAGGAACTCCATAAATGCTTCTCACAGAAACAGACAAAAATACCCAAATTCAAAACCAAAGCAAACAGCATAGCATGATAAGGCAGAATAGTTTGGTTCAGACAAACTTTCCTATAGATAAAAACTATAAATACCAAGAAAGAAAATTTTTAAAATTCTGCTTAAAAACCTGAGAAAGTCAAAATATGATTAACTCTACTGAATGAACCATAATCTGTGTTTGTCCTCTAAGGCTTCTCCCCAATCTGACTGAGGTGGGGGACCAGGGAATTCAACAGAAAACTGCAGTTTTATTTGTTGGAGAAGTCAAAGCATGAAATTTTATACTACAGGGTTCTTGACATTTTTAGAAAGTGAGCCATAACAGATATTCAAAAGCTGAACACAAACTTCCCTTCCATTCTTGATTTACAAAGGTACAGGTAAAATGCCAAGAAACCCAGAGGAAAGACAGCTAGAGGCTGAAAATTAAAAAAAAAAAAAAAAAGATATTTTAGTTTTCTATCTACCATATAGGAGTCAAAATTTGGAATTTGATTCTTGCCTATTTAGGGGACATGGTAATCACATTAGGCTGCCCATTAAAACCCCCAAATAATCACATCTTAGGAGTAAAGGCTGAATCAAGAGAATCAAGTAATAAAGTAATCCCTGAGATTAAGGGAAAGATGAAAACAGACCCATCCTAACACATAGGAAACCAAGTCTCTTCATATTCCAGGTGATGTTTTGGGAATAGAGTTGCCTACCAAAATAAAGTCTAACATTCTTCCACAAAGATAACATAACCCAGTCTCTACAGTGCATCATTATATAATCAAAAATCACTAACATGAGAAGAAACAGGAAAATGTGATCAGATTCCAAGAGAAAATATTTAGTCAATAGAAGTATGCCTTCAGAAGCCTCCAATACTGGCTTAAAAGATAGATACTATAAAATAACTACAATTAATATATTTACAGTCTGTAAGATATAGCCCAGAATTAGAAATAGCCAAAGTATCCCGAAATAGGTAAATGATGAAACAATCTGCAGTACATTTATACCATAGAATACTATCTCAATAAAAAGGAATAAATTATTGATGCATGCAACAACTTGGATGCATCTAAGGAGCAATCTTTAAAAAAATTATGTGCCATGTGATTCCATTTATATAATATTTCTGAAATAACCAATCTACAGAGATAAAGAATTAGTTAGTGGTTGCCAGTAGTTAGTGATAGATAGAAAAGGAGTGGATGGGCGTGATTGTGTTATGGTTTGAATTCGAGGTGTCCCCAAAAGTGTCCCTAAAACTTCAAAGGAGAAAGAATTTGGTTGTGAGAGGCTTAACCCAATCAGTTAATTAGTCACTTAACAGAACAACTGGATGGTAATTGAAGGGAGGTAAGATGTGGCTGGAGGTAGTAGGGTATTGGGGGTGTGGCTTTGGGATATATATTTGTATCCGGAAAGTGGAGTGTCTCTCTCTCTCTCTCTCTCTCTCTCTCTCTCTCTCTCTCTCTCTCTTTTTCCTGATTACCATGTGAGCCACTTCCCTTTACCACACTCTTCTGCCCCGATTCAGCCTCACCTGACCTGAGGAATGAAGCTTGCTGGCTATAGACTGAGACCTCTGAAACTGTAAGCCCCCAAATAAACTTTTCCCCCACTGCAGTTGTTCTGGTTGGGTCTTTAAGTCACAGCAGCAAAAAAAAATCTGACTAAAACAGACAGTATGAAAGAGTTCTTTGCTATAGTGGAATAATTCTCTATCTTGATTACAGTGGTGGTTACACAAATCTATGCATGAAATAAAATTTCATAGAACTATTCACATTTTATATCAATGACAGTTTCTTGGTTTTTATAGAATTATCGTACAATAGTTGTATGTAATATCATCTCTGGGAAAAACTGAGTTAACACAGGACTTTCCCATGCTATCTTTGCAAACTTCTAAAAACAATTTCAATATAAAAGTTTAAAATAAAATCAGTAGGAAAATATTACTATCATGTATAAAAGATGAGGGGCTTCAGAAAATGTTTGAAACTATGAAAAAGAACCAAAAAAAATCACAGAATTGAAAATGTCCTTAAATGGATTAATACCACACTATATACAACAGAAGAAAAGATTTGCAAAATTGAAATTCTGTGAATTTGTTTTACTAGTCTTATGAATTCTGCTATTTTGGAGATGGCTTAACTGACAGCCCTACTCTCCATTTGTATTTGGTACCCCTGTTCATTGTTTCCATGGGATCCTTTGTATAGTAGGGCTTTCAAAATAGTGAATGTATGTTTGTGTAATTATCTTCACATCCACCTCTCTTATTAAACTGGATATGCACCAGGGCCCTTGTCTACTATGCTTACTGTTCTTTTCGTAGTGGCTAGAACAGGGCAGATATCAAAGAAGTACCTGTCAAAAGAATGAATGAATGAAAGGCCTCCTCCACAGAAGATTAGATTTTAGAGATGGCACAAGGTAATGAGTGTTACATCATAATGTTTTATAAAATTATTGTATGTTCATAATGAGAAAAGGAGATTAGAGTTCACTTCAACTTCTGCCCCAAAGTATCTTACTGCACCTGTCACTTTGATTTTCAATTTTTTAAGCATGCTTTATATCAACCTCTGCTACTCTTTCAGAATCAGAACTGTATAATATTACATATAATAGTCAGCGGAGTGTTGTGGCTAAGGCTTTATTAGATTCTCCATATTTACATAGACTAATAATAGATTGTTACTGTTCCATTCAACTTGTAACCATCCCTGCAGCTACTTAGGTTTGTCAGATCCTGACTTCTTTATGTTTTTCTAAAACCAGGGGCTCAGAGGGACAGTATGTCTATAACAAACTTCTGTTCAGTATCTTGTCTTCAACAGTCAAATTAACAATGCAAACTGTGTGGCATTTAAAAATGCCATCCTATGGTTAAACATGAACCCAAAAGATATTAGATTTTTTTCCCCTTTCATATAAGGGTTGGATGATCCTCCTCTTTCCTTTTACATGCTTCTAAAACGTTCAATTTAAATGACATATGTGTTGCAGTCCCAGACAGTTTTAATTTGAGAGTTCCCTCACACCTGCCTTGGTATCCTGGAGCATGGAGTGGCATTGTTCATTATTACACATTACTTTTGATAGCCTCAGCTGGGCATCAGGTCAGGGGTGTCTGCACTAAAGCTTCAGAAGTGCAGACTTGTATTGATTTATATCTCCACCAGCTGCACTGAAGCCATCTTTTATATGAGCGCAGATGCTGAATCCAGACATTAAGAGAGTTTCAATCTCCAAGGTGATCAAGACTGTAGATTCATGAACCCCTCAGGCATCATTTGAAACTAGAGATGGTATTTAGAGTTTTGAAAGATAGATTTCACAGCACAACAATATTTTAAGTAAGCTACCTCTGGGAGACATTTATACTAACCTGGAACTTTTTTTAGTTGTATATACTGGTCACAGTGCCTGCTTTCTGAAAATAAATGAAAAGGGTAAAATGGATGCATGGGTGGTCTGTGACTAGAGACCACTCATGTCATTGAAGACACTGGGGCAATCTGTCAGGGATTCATATTGAATGTGTATTTGCAATCCGAATAGTCAAGAAATAAAATTCTTCCTTTCAGAGTCGGATATTGGTGTAAGTTACACTATTATTGGCCAGATGTTGATCTGGCCTCTTCTGTCCCACTCCTCTTCTCTGTAGTGACTCATCCAAACACTCTCAGACAACTTTCTAAATGTAAGTCATCTGTGTATTGTGATGAATTCCAGGGTACAAACACATGTGAAGTTGGAAATTAAAAGGTGAATGGCTGTGTCCTTAAACCTAACCTGAAACAGCTTTGGACATAATAGCCTTTGATCCTGGACCACACCCCACCTCACTGCCTTGCACTAACACCAGCTGGAACACTTAATCTTTTTTTTTGGGGGGGGGGGCAAAGATTGAAGCCAGAAGTGCTTAACCACTAAACCACCTCCACAGTCCTTTTTTTTTTTATTTTAATTTGTTATATATGGCAGCAGAATGCATTACAATTCATATTTCATGTATAGAGCACAATTTTTCATGTCTCTCATTGTACACAAAGTAGAGTCACACCATTTGTGTCTTCATACATGTACTTAGGGTAATGATGTCCATTTTATTCCACCATCTTTCCCCATGCCCCCTTCCTTTCCCTCCCACTCCTTTTCCCCTTTGCCCCATCTGGAGTTCATCTAATCCTCCCATGTCCCCCGCCACCACATTATGAATCAGCAGTCTTAAATCAGAGAAAATATTCAGCGTTTGGATTTGGGGGATTGGCTAAATTCACTTAGCATTATATTCTCCAACTCCATCCATTTACCTGCAAATCCCATTATTTTATTCTCTTTTAATGCTGAATAATATTCCAGTATCTGTGTGTATATGTGTGTGTGTATGTGTGTGTACACACACATCATATTTTCTTTATCCATTCATCTACTGAAGAGCATCTTGGGTTGGTTCCACAGTTTAGCTATTGTAAATTGTGCTGCTATAAACATTGATGTGGCTGTGTCCCTGTAGTATGTTGTTTTTAAATCCTTTAGGTATAGACCAAGGAGTGGGTCTATATATTAAAAATGGGTCAAATGGTGGTTCTATTTTCAGTTTCCTAAGGATTCTGCATACTGTCCACAGCCATTTTTTATATTTTATTTAGGAACAGGGTCTTGTTAAGTTGCTTAGGGCCTCACCAAGTTGCAGATCCACCTGTCTTAGCCTTCCAGGTTGCTGGCATGCAACCACTGCAACCACTGCATCAGATTTATCCTTTCTTTGAGGAAGCTTTGACCCTTCTGACTTAGCATCTTGAATTCTGGAGAAACCCAGAATTTTTATTGAAACTCTGTACTGATAATTCATGAATTCTTTAACATTCAAACCCATGCCCAAATTTGGCTTGGTTCATTTTTTTTCCTATTCTCTAGGCTTGGTTTCTCCTGCCTATCTCCAGAGTCTTCAGCAGTTTAATTTTTCTTTCCAAGAATTTCTTCCTTTTCTTTTCTCTCCCTATCTCGCCCACCTTTCTCTCTTATTATTTTTTTCTGTATTCAAATAGCTAAGATTCTTTTCATAAATGAGAAATAAATTTAACTTATTTAACTGGCTTTGAAAAAAAAAAGTGGGGGTTTGATTTACTCCAGCTCACACAACTGAAGGCCCAGGCATGGTTCTATCTATATTCCATTACTCAAACATGTCATCACAGAGGAGCCCTCTTCATCTCTGAATTATGCTTTGCTTTATATTGTCTACTTTCAGTAGACTCTTCATCTTGACCCCCAAAACTCTAATTTCATAGTGTCAAGCTCTAAAATCTAAAACAAAAGTGCTTTTCTTATAGTTCCCCAAACAACAAAAAGTCCTAGAATTAAATCTTTTTTTTTTTTTTGTACAAACTTGGGTCATATTCTTTCTCATGCAGAAGTCAATTCTTTCTACTAGGAAGACAGTGTTATGGTTTAGATGCAAAGTTCAAAAAGTTCATATGTGAAACAGTGCAAGAAGGTTTAGAGGTGAAATGATTGGGTTATGAGAGCCTTAACACAATCGGAATATTAATTCCATGATAGGGATTAACTGGATGTTAACAGTAGGAAGCAGGTAGTAGCTAGAGGAGATGGGTCCCTAGGGTGTGCCTTTGGAGTATTTACTTCATCCTTTATTGAGCAGGGCTCGCTCTCTTTGCTTCCTAGCACCGTGCTCCCAGTTGACTTCCTCTGCCACACACTCCTGCCATCATGTTCTGTATCATTCCCAGCTCTGAGGAATGGAGTTGGCCATCTGTGGACTTCTGAAACCATGTGCCTCCAAATAAACTTTTCCTCCACTAATTGTTCTTGTCAGGTCTTTTAGTCACAACAGCAAAAAAAAAAAAAAAAAAAAAAAAAAAAAAAAAACTGACCAAAACAGATGGAAAACACTAAATTCTTAGTTTTGGACCACATTGCATGCCCTGGAGCCTAGAAGATGTAATCAGGCTACTTCAACTACAAGTACCAAAAACATCAAGGGAGTGTTATCAAAGGAATGTAGAAAGGAATCAGATAGATCAAACCAATAGGCATCACCACAACCAACCCAAATTCTTGGGATGCTTATGTAAAATGCAGACTGGGAGAACCTTAATCTAGAATGAAATTAATTCATACCTGTATTTGTAACAATTTATTATTTTTGATATGCACACTACTGTCCCAAAACCACTACCCTAGAGATCCCAGAAATCCTAACCTCCAGGCATTCTTGGCCATTGAAACTCATACAGCTCAGAAAGATGGCTGCAGTTTGGGTTTCAGAGTTCCCCACTCTGCAGACATTTACTTAGTCCTTCAGGGTCAGGTCTGGAAGGACAACAAAAAAGCACCTGTCCTCCTGGGGCTTATATCCCCATTAAGGTAACTGACAAATGTGCCCTAATTACATGAAAGAAAGGGATGGTTGCAGAGAGCTGTAGGGGATGAGGCAGAGATAACCATTGAATGCTCTGCTCTGACCACAATGGGTTGTCTTTGTTGTCTGTTTGTTCTTTGAACTGTCACTTAATACTCCTAAGTCCTCAGAGCAATTTTCACATTTTCACCTGCCCAGACTTTCTTCTAGAATGTTCTTTCCAAATTAATATGCTGTTTGTGGATTAGGGTGAAAATTTTTAATTTCATTCTATGACTTAGGGAGTACCAGAAGATTTTAGCAGAGGAGATATTTTGAATTTTTGAAAGATCACTACAGCTGCTTTGCATAGAAAAGACCACAGGGCTGCTGCATTCCTGGAATGAGGAAGATCAATTACAAAGCAAGAGGTGAAGATTGAGAGAAGTAGGCAGAATCAGGATATATTTCAAAATGGAAATATTTGGACTTGCTAACTACAGAGAATGGGAGAAATGCAGAAAAGAAAGGAATCTAGAATAATTTTATCTACTTGAGTAACGTTCTAGAAAATCACTGTTGCTTCATTTTATCTCTATCGAGAAAAGAATGTGCAGTTGTTTAGGTTTATGCAGGTTTAGACCTAACCATTCATTCTTTCTCAAAATGTTAGTTTCCACTTCTGCCTTTAATTGTAAGGACATGCAAACAGATGGGTAGTTCATGAGCAGAGCCTTTCAATGTCCCCCTTACCTTCCCCACCATGACCAAAAAAAGTTTTCAGGAAATCCAGGCCAAAAGATCAGGATTGGGTAGCCATGATAAGAACAAATGATTAACAGCAACAGCATGAATATGGTTCTATATGAGAGGGCGAGGAAGATGTAGGCTGTGGCCATTAAGGCTCTCTGCAATCTTCAAGGGAAGGGAGGCTTTTGCACTGTGCAGTTTCATTAAGAAGATTGTAGGCTTCTTGAGGACCGTGAATCAGCTCATTCTGCAGCCAGTCACTTCACTTGGATTCCTGCTCTGTACTTCAAAATCACTCAGCAAATATAAATCCATTTGAGTTGGCTAGCAAAAAGGAAATAACTTCTGTTTGCAAAGTAGATTAAGCCTGGAGATATTCCTCAATAGGGCTTTAAAACTGTCACTGAAAACAAGACTGTATTTTATTTTGATTATACTGAAGTGAGTTCTACTATATTTATATATTAAAAATATCCAGACCAGTCAAATGCAGTGAGTGGCTATGTTATTCACAATCTAAGGCAATATTTGTGGATGTTGGGGGCAAAGAGAAAAGGCTTGGGAGTGAAATGAAAGGGTAGGAGAAAGGCAGAATGCAAACTAAAAAAATAAATAAATAAATTTATACATTTGCTTGGGGTTTCTGTTGAGAGGAAAAAAAAAAAAACAGCTCCCCCCTCAGTGCCTTTAATCATTTGAGAATCACCCTCATGATTTTTGTCATACCCTTTTTACCAGTCAGGATTCTCCAGAGAAATAGAGCCAAGAAAAATAGAGCCAATAGAAATAGAACCAAGATGACTATAAAAAGAGATTTATTTTAAGGAATCATCTCATGCAATTTTTAGAGCTGGTGAGTTCAAAGTCTGTAGGGCAGGCAGCAGGCTAGAAACTCAGCTGAGAGTTAACATTGCAATCCTGAGTCCAAAATCTGCAGGTCATGCTGGAACCTCAGTAGATTTCTCCATTATAGTTTTGTAACAGAATTTCTTCTTCCCCAGGAACCATGTTTTTTGCTCTTCAGGCTGTCAACTATTTGCATGAGGCCCACTTACATCATCAAGTATAATCTTCTTTACTTAAAAGAACTGATGATAATTGTCAGTCACAACTACGAAACATCTCAGAGCAACATCAAGACTAGTGTTTGACCAATCAACTAGAGACCAGAGCCTAGCAAGGTTGACATATAAAATTAACAATTATGCCCTTTACCACTGTTACTATTATTCATTCATTCATTCATTCCCAGCAGCTATTCCCACATGCCATGCACATTTCTCATCTTGAATAAGACAAAGTCCCTGCTCTCCTGGAGCAGCATTCTAATGGGACATCCAGAGGAAAAAAACACATTGGACAGGGAAAGAGATCAATTCTGCTCTGGCCTTTTCCAGACTAAGGTGTTTTTAAATATCCATACAAAGTTATTTTATGGGATATTCTGTAGTAAGTTCCAGGAGAATATAAGAAAATGTGAATCACTTTGAATTTGTTACTTGTCATAATGAAATATGAGCACCAGTGTATTGTTAAGGAAACAATGTACAAAATCAACAAGTTAGGATAATGGTTCTATTTTTCTAAATACATTAAGAGAAATATATATATATATATATTTGTTTTGTTTTGTTTTGTTTTCTTCATAATGCTACCTGATCTTTTTTTTTTTAAGCAGACAAATTTGTGAGGAAGGGAGATATTGATTGTTGTCCTAATTAAGAATGAAAGTTCTAAGAGTTCAGTGACATTATCTGCTTTGTTTACCACTACTTTCCCAGGATTATTGTGTCCTCAGACTTACAATTTAATAACAGATATTATGGGATTGTGTTTGCTTTTTGTAGTACAAGGGATTGAACCCAGGCACTCTACCACTGAGCTACATCTCCAGTACTTTTTATTTTCTATTTTGAGATAATCTTACTAAGTTGCCCAGGTTGGATTTGAACTTGTGATCTTTCTGCCTCTGCCTCTCAAGTTGCTTGGATTATAAGCATGCAAAACTGTGCCTGGTGATCACTGTTGTTGATAATCACTGTGCTACAATATGCCAGTTTAATAAGGAAGGAGAGAAGAAGCTAGTTATCCCTTCCTGTCAGAGGTCTTTATATAGCAAAATCTCAGGTTCTCCTTTACACATGAGCCCCTCCAAGATTTGCCTGGGGTCAGTCAGGTCCAAGTCCAGGTATCATGACCTTCTAAAAGAAGATAAGAAAAGGCTCAATAGGTCTGAAAGTGGACCTCATGGTCACAGGAAGCAAACTTTAAAAGCACTCTTAGAAGGAGCACTGATAACCTGCATTTGAAAGAAGTCACAGTATGTATACAGTAAAACATTTATAATAAATGTGGGGGAGGAAGTCTCACATTTGTACAAGCAAATACAACCTTGGAGTGTTATTTGTTGAGATCTCTGAATTTCTAGAATGAGCGACATAACATTCCATTGCATATGGAGGGGCTGGTTTTCTCATCAGTGTCTGGAACCATGCCCGAGGCAGGGTAGGCACTCTATAAACAGTACTGAATAAATTAGAGAGTAAATGAACGAACTAATAACATTTTAAATGTTTATCTATGTTCCACCTAAAATTACCTCTTGCCTGCCAAATAAGGGCTGGAGTAGTGTGGAGTGTTAGCAAGTCCTTGGGGTTGCAGATCTAAAGCCATATTCTCTGCTTCTCTCCATTAATCATCTCAGACATCCATTTGGATTATGTCTGAAGTGGAAGAGAGAGGATTTATTTTTTATTCCACCTGAAGCCTTAATGATCATTTTCTCTAAATTTAGATTCAATGATACTCTAATCATAAAAGGAATCAGCTTGTTGATTTGAGGGGTATAATTAATATATGCAGTCATTTCTTCCAATATTAAACAGACTTACATTACCAATGGACAACTTCAGTCCTTACCGACAAGTGCAGCAGGGTCCCACGAGCAGATGCCAAATGAGATAATAATCCAGGAAACACAAAGCCAGGTATGCATGCCTTCTTATTCCAAAAGTGCCCATCAGACAGATCAATGAAGAGCAGGGAAGGGAGAGGAGAAATGAAGTGGGATGTGATCTTGCCTTCACTTTTCTCCTGGAAATTGGAGTCAGAATTCCCTTTCTTGGAGAGTCATGAGAAGTGGGGTCTGATTATCCCACTTAACAGTTATTTCAACATCATCAATGCCTAAGAAAATCTAACATTTACACCTGCCCTAAAAACCAGTGTATTAACATTTTCATATGCTTCAATTCCTTCTTCCTCAAGGTTTAAAAAGTCTTCATTGTCGGGATCATGCCCAACTCAGATGATTCTTCCTCGTTAGCTAGGTGGCATTTGATAACAATGATTCTTCCTCGTTAGCTAGGTGGCATTTGATAACTACAGATGAAGTGAGTTACAACACGGTTGCTTGCTGCTCCTGGAGATGTGAGAAAAACAACAGCCATTTTTCTTGCAGATAATAGTTTGGGAAAGCTATATTAATTGTAGATATAAAACTACCTTGGATGTCCTTATATGGTTAAGATGAGGAGAAAACCATTCTTGTCCATAGGTCAAAGGTTAATGTAGAAACAACTAGAAACTTGCTGATGTCTACAGTGTCATGGCCAAGCTACCATGCATACACCTTACCAGAAGCTAGAAGTTGGAAAGTAGAGTTGAAATCTCAGACCTCATAAGAGAAACACATTTAAAAAAAAAAAAAAAAGTTACATGGCTCTTCTTAAATTTTCCCTAAAAGGAACATGGTAATTTTGATTTATCTATAAAGCAATGAAATTAGCTTTTATATGTAGTTGCCAAACTGTATTCATTATATGTCACACCACTTAAAGTTATGATTTCTAGCTCAATGCTGGAGAATACTTCGAGGGATTTGCACAAACAATAAATCTCGTAATCTTTAGGTACATTTGAATGTGCACCTAAATAAAAGTTACCTACAATATCTTAATAAAATGTACCTTGTTTGCCAATACTTCTGTTTAATGAGAAGCATCTGCATATTTCACTGACCAATTCTAAATTTTAGCAACTTGCTTTTTTAGAGACATTCATAATAATGCTAAAATACAGATCAAGGCATTTAGTTTCATAAGTTTTGCTTTGTTTTTAAGAATGCTGTTTTCTTCTTCCTGGAATGTTCTCCATAATCAAAGTCTGCCAAAGATGGAAACAAATCCTTGAAATGACGTAGGAAACACCTTCTATTTATACATGAGGATACCAAGACCCAGATTTATCCAAGGTCATTTCTCAGCAGTTAGTAACAAAATCAGGATGAGAACACAGCTTTCAGCTCCCAATGCACTGTTCTCTCCCCTACCCATCCTTGAACTAAAGCTATGCTCCATGAAGCCTCTGTGGTCGCCAATGATTTATCAATTTTAGGAAACCCTAACCATAATCTATACTATACCATTTAGCATATGGTTAAAAACACTTTATTATCAGTCCAAATATCATACATTAGTCCTGTATCTCCAAAAGAGTTTATCTCGGAAGGACAAATACCCATGATCTAGGCCAGTGGCGTGGGCGGGGGGCCTGGGCGTTTGCGCTTGCGCTGAGGGCGCAGGGGACCTGTGGTCATTATTTTTGACCCAAGCCACAACGGTTAGCGCTCATCTTGGTCCCAGCTTCTCCAACGGTCAAGGTCCAACAGCTGTCCCGGGACTAGGGAATCACTCTGCACCGGAGCACAGAGATCGTGGACAAATTCTTCTCATTTGGCATCAACAGTATTCTGTACCAATATGGAAACCTTCACTCAAGTGCAGAAGTATAGATTCACCTTGCTGGTAACTACTGACCCTGAGCTTATAAAGCACTTCAACAGTGTAGTGGAACAGCTTGAAGTCCTTATAGCAACCCTAAGATCGGATGCCATCTTATGCCTGCTTTAGAGATGAAGAAACAGGTTGAGCGCTGACCGTTTAAGGACGGCACAGCAGGAGCGAAGGTGGCATGCTGTCGTTCAGATGTTGCAAGCCCCCAGAGACTGTGTGCTGAAGGCTTGGTCCCCAGGATGGCGCTATTGGGAAATGACGTTAAGAAGTGGGCCTGTTGGGAAGTCCCAGGCCACTGGAGTGTGTCCTTGCAGTGATGGGGGATCCAGCCCTTCCTCCCTCTGCTTCCTGGCCCACCTTGAGCTGTTTTGCCTTCATGGGCTCCCACAGCCACAGCTGACACAAGCTCAGAAGCAATAGGGCCAATCAGTCACAGGCTGGAATCTCCAAAAGTGTAAGCCCAAGTAACCCCTTCCTCTTTATAAGTTATTGATCTCAGGTATTTTGATACCATGATAGTGACCAAGCACTTCTCTGAAGGAACCGCAACTGATAGACAAAAGCCAAAGTGCCTGGAGGCAGGATGCTCCTGCCAAGCCAACCAGCAAGTATCAGCAGCGATCACCAGGCCTGGGCACACCACCACAGCCATGCTTCAG